TTTCCCCAAGAACTTTTTCGTGTGGGGGTAATAAATACAGGTGCCGTACTCGAGAACTGAACGCACATAAGCAAGCAATGAACAGCACATATGGATGAAAACCCAGGCCGTGTCAGTTGATCAGCTTTGCAGCGATCAACTGTGGCCACTCATCGAAAAGGAAGGGAAAGGGTCGTATCCTTAAAAAAGTCAGTGACAAATATAAGGTTCAAATCTTTTTTAACCTCTTCTATATATACCTCCTCCTACAAAACGCGTACTTTTGTAAGCTGGGCAGGCATGGGACCATCCTTCGGGGGAAGACCACTTTCCACGACGCTATACGTTACGCTTGACCTTGCGATGGGCAACCTCGTACAAGTGATATGTTTACGTACAGGCGACGACAGAACTACAGAGAACGATAGAAACGTCCACGTAGGCGCTTTTCGAAAACATCTTTTTCATCTCCTTCACGATCGACATTGAGAGCATTATATGTCCTTCGAACGTGAGACACCGGCCTTCACTCACTGGTTATGATGTCAACATTGGCTATCGTGGCACAGCTCAAATTTTCAATGGTATTACTTCTTAAAATTCAACTAAACCGCAAGACAACGTGGCTAAGTCGAGAATGGATGGGGAAAAGCATGAAACTACATCAAAATTGTGAGGTATCGCTTATCATGACACTGAAAGGCTTTCAACCGCATTCGTATGATCGTGTTCAAGAACTTACTAATTACAATCAGGTAACACTCAAATCTTTACAGCTACTAGGTCTTTCATATTTCGAAAACCTCGCAGTTTTGAAAAAAAAAAAAGGAATTTTCGAGAAACAAAGACACTATCCACGAGTATACACAAAACACAACCCGTTACATCTCCTTTACTTATTCAACCCACTATGTCCGAACTGCCTTCCCATTTTCAACGCGTTTTTTACCCTTGAAGCACGGTCCCGGATAAGCCTCGACCTGGTAGATCAACTCCAATCCAATATACTACTGATACTCCAATATCATGAAGCCTCTTTATATGTTTTGCGGTAGTTCCAAAGAATAGTGTCCTTCTATAATGTTTTTATGGAAGGTCACTGAACATGCCAGCGAAACCCAGATTTTTGCGAAAATCTCAGAACACATATTCCCAACATCTTGGAAGATCAGGAAAAGTTATCCATTTCGTGTCAAAACGAAAACGAAATAATCTCTAACCGATCGTGTCAACCAAATAAAACATATGAATGGACTTATTTGATTCGCAAAATCTCGTAAACCCCACATACAAAATCTCTTAGCGATCGCTCGATTTAAACAGTCCTGTGTTGATGCAAAATATGACATCTTTCATCGCATACCTCAACGAATTGCGTTGTCTTGCCAAACATCTCTCTGTATTCCTCCAAGAAAGAACGTGCGGGGGCAGCCGACGGTAAGAAATGCTCTTCACGCAAGTCGATTCTGAGTTTCAAGAATCATTAATACAACGAACCTCAACTCAGACAATCTAGCCCTCTGAAATCCACAAAGGAAAAGAAAAGAAATAGTACCCGGAAATCCTATGAATTCCAAAAGCTCTTACTTCATATTGATACAACCCCAGATGGCGAAAATCAGCACAATAGTGCACACGATTACGATTGGATAACGCGAATTACGTGCAACCAATCGATCACCGAGAGCCCGTGCCACACTTGGGCGCGTATCGATTAGACGATCGTGAAGTGTAAACAACGCCGACGAATCAAAGTCACTCAGATTCGGTGCTGAAATCGGCGATGAGTGATTGGTTTGTACTGAACGGTCAACTTCTGAATTAGTTAGCCTTTAGCCTTTAGCCGGTCTGAAGAAAAAAAAACAACAAGATTTTCTCTCAACTACAGAGAATTTTGAAACATTTCTCGACTATTCGCCACCTAACCGTCTTTTTGAAAATGTCGCACCTACTTATGATCTTCACTTTATTTTTTTTCTAGGTAATCAATGAGGACCAATAGCATTTCTCACCGGTGAAATGGGTGTCGCCGGTGGTGAAACACTGATACCATTTCACTCCTTTTGCTTCTCGCCGACCGCCAATGTACACAAAAACAGCAACAAACCTTTAAATGTAGGCCATTAGCATAAAATAATGCGCATATATGTGCATACATATATGCTTTTGAACTTTGAACACATGATAAATTTATGGGTGAAAAATCCCCATGTAAACAAATTTTAAGGCAGCATTCAAACATTTATATGGTATTGCTCTTTCCGGAAGAAAAAAAAGCATTGCTCGCGGCTTTTTCATACTAAATGGCATTTATGCCATTAGATCAGAGTGCGGATTTGTCGCGCAAAGCCACCAACTTTTCGCGCGGTGGCCGCAGTGGACTTGCGCAGAAGAATGGGTATCAGTAACTTTGAAAGATATCTAAGTCAGTGGAAGAATTTCAAGTAATTCGGTATCAATGATCGATTGGTACTCTGAAGAACTCACATAATCAAAAATATGAATAAAATGGCTACAGCAGCCGACATCGCTACCATTGTCGATTCCATATGACGTTGAGGTGCTATGGCAGCTCCGAGCACTATTAAAATGATTGTTTCAGTGAAAGAATTACAAACAGGTACATATGTCAAAAGGGAATGACTGGAGTCTGGTTCAAGTGCTTTTAAACAGAAGATTGTTAAATGTTCGAGTAGTGAATTACTAATGTTTAATGCCGCTACAGGAACTGTCTCATAACTTTGAAAGACTATAATGGGAACTTCCTGTCGCAACCTTCACAAAAATCTTCGAAGTTCAGATAAAAGGACAAACGTGGAGGGTAAATTTGTTGGAACAGACACGATTGCGAGCAAATCAAGCAAGAGTGGAACCAATCCAACTACTTGTGCAAAGTCGGAAACGTGCATGACTGAGGAACTTCAATTTATATGGCTTAAGGACACAGTTTACGATTATTTCAGTGTATTAAAATAAGGCCAATAATGGAAATGATGGTCCGGTCAGTGCAGGACTGGCGGAGAAAACGGGAAAATTGCCGTATTCAGAGAAATAAAAGGATTAATAAAAATAGTTAGAGGTTCGACAAGAATGGGACAACAAAAGTTGTATGGAAGGAGAATTTGGACGAGCTATCCAAATGTGTGTGCCATCGCTGACTGCTAACTACAGTAAGCTGCCTGCAACACTGCGTCTCGGTGCAAATGGGCAACTTCTACAGCCTCGACAACGCCGTGAGGACTCGTTCGTCTTTAGGGATTCTTTAGGGAGTCCGCTAAGCCGGTTTTGCGCCCGTTTACGCCCTATCAGCCGTTTTTCGACCCCAGTCCCTTGCGTTATCCTTAGGGTTCACAAGTTTATTTTGGGAGAACTCTCGAAAACCATTTTTATGCTGAACTGTGCCATTGATCATTCACTTATACAAGTCTTCAAGTATAAGAAAAAAAAAATGTCGGAGGGGAAGCGGATGCAAGAGGTGGCGCATGATCCTGAGATTAAATTCTGAATGTACCCAGGGTTATTTCCCTACCTATAGGCTTACCGGGACGCTCAGTCATAATTGCGCTTTTCTATATGAATTAAAACACCCACTCGAACAAAAGCTATATTGGTAAGCCATTATCTATGCCAACACGTACTAAAAAGAAGCTATGAGCCTGAATGAAGGTCGAAAACGTGGGCGAATCTTGAAGCGGCATTAATCAACATCGAGAATCTAGCTGCTAAAAAAANAAAAAAACTACAAGATCTGTCATGGCAATGTACTGCCATGGTTGTAAGGAACTAAATATAAGTCGTACCGAAAGTGCGGTCTTCACGAACTGATCGCAGAAGAACATGTAAGGGGCGGAGCACAAAATCAGGTAAATAGATTGAATGACGCGAAGACCCCATGAGGGTCCGAATAAAACCATAGGGACGATCGCAAAATGCTTCAGCGAGTTATGTTAATGATCTATGCCTATTGTAAAAATCCAGTGTTGGCCATGGAATCAATCTGGCGTTCAATAAACCGTTCCGAGGTACCGAATGATATTGCGCTAACAACAACGGCCTCCTTCCAGGATGTTTCTCTTTCTTGCATACCGAAAGTTGTTCTTCAAGTCAAGTATAACGTCTAAATAAATTAAACAAAATATTAGAGGATAATGTGTACCACTATGGTTAATTCATGAGGAGGCGTTAAGCAATTCCATTTGAAATCATGAAGCCATTTAAAGGCGTGTCTCACTTTCCCTATGACGTGAAAGCTATTCGAAGCCCAAGCCGGGGTTTGCGACGATAATTAGTTGAAATGACTAAGATGAAGGGAATGTTTGGGGTGGAAAAATTAGATACGGTTCAACAAGGGACGCTTCTAGCCACTTTGCCGCTTCCATGTTCGACCGGATTCAATTTCCAGAGGGGAAGCGTCAAACCATTTCGGACCTCGTTCAGATGTTCTTTGCCACACACATCCCATAAGAAGTGGGTTTATAACAAAGCTATGACACGGAGTTAGTCTCAAATTCAGAAATGGAACCCACTCCCAAATTGGAGAGAGAACTGATGATCAGAAGGACACTCCCATCGAAGGCGAGTGTGGTGTAAAGGCACGTGGCGCACAAGAAGACGCGCATGGGCTAAGGATAGAATCCTGGATCGCCTGTGCAGACCAAGCCTTTCATTGTTCATGGATCGGCTAATTGGTACCGAACTTAACTGGGAGTATAAAAGTTCTGAGCTGTTCAACCGCTACAAGGCATTGTATCACGTTCAATACACTACTACGATTCTGAATAGAAGTCAATTCATGGGCGCATTCCAAAACGGTAAAAAGGTTAAAATCCATTATCCTAAATAAAGTAAAAAAAAAAGACTGAAGCTAGGAACGATGCAATTTTAGCCAAGTATGATGATAATAAAGGTACACAGAGTAATATTCCGCAATGAAGTCGTAAAAAAATAATCGTTCGAAAACTAGAATTAATGAAAACCGCATCGGAAATAGTAGGAGAAGTTTCGTCAACATCCACAGCTATGACGCGTTGACCTATGGCTTCATCACTTGAAATAAACTTCTTACGTCGACCAATCTTGGGGCTTCTCCTCGGGATGAAAGTGAAAAAGCAGATAATCCAATGCAACCAAAACAACTACAAATCCTCAATCTAACTAGGATTAAAAGGTAAAAAAAGTGCATATTGTAAAGCAGGAAATCCGAAATCCTTATGAACTCTGGGAAATCCCCAAAACACCAAGTACATACAACTAGATTAATGTGGATGACCCACTCACTACTCCCTCTTTTTTACATTCAAAAAAAGCTTGAGAAAGGGTTCTGCGTACACTTCGAAACTTTTTTTTTTTAGAATAAGCAAATATAACAAATACCTCCTGAGCAAATACCTTATCTACTCTCCATAATGGCTCATAAAACTACGAGCTCAATTTTCACTCCAAAAAAAAAACGTCAAAAAATGGAAAAAGAAAACATTCAGACTAGGAGGCACTTAAAGAAAACCCAGAATGGGACACACTTATTATGTGTTTGAATTTTGAGGGAAGGTATTCAGGAACAGTTTGCAGCAGGGACACATTTATCCGATCGGTCGAAATATGTAGTTGAAAAAAGGAAAGCACCTCTCCGTCCACCTCGTTCCTACACACTACAATTGGAGATTGCGCCATGCCTTCCTGAGCAACACACTTTCAAAGTATGATGGAATGCTTAGATCCTCATGGTGATTTTCTATGAATGTGGCTTGGCAATACAATTAGAAGTATTGCATGGATCTGAGGAATGAATTAAAGCTTGAGATGAGTCCAACATTCTGGAAAAACACGGCTTTTCATCCGCCTACAAGCCTTTTCCGCAGCAACCGGTCCAAATTGATTGAGGCCGAAGCAGAACAATCAAGAAATCCGCGGTAAATCACTTTATGTTCACTCGACAAGCCAAAAGAAGTAATAGTGGACATTAACCAAATCGGCCTATTCATAACAGGATGTGGAGCTTCTTTTTCCCCCTTTTCACGGATATCTGAAGCTTAATTGAACGAAGGGACATTCAAGGAAAACTCAAAGGCGACAATATTTAAAAAACAAGGATTACTTACTTGTAGTGGCCACAACGATGATGGCTGAGACAGTAATTCCTGGACCATCATGGGCGAGAATGAAAGCAAGCTTTTCTGTTGGATGTACAGCTGCAGAAGAATAACGACTCCACGATTGGTGCAAACAGAACAACCAAAGCAAGCCGATTGCTGAAATCGAACAAAACTGAGAATATTGTCACACTCCATTTTAATTCCAATTTAGGCATGCAAAAAACTTTAAGAGTATCTACTGCTAGTTCACCACCTTAGTAAGCCGAAAATCCATCAAAAATTCATTAGTCCTGTCAATTTTGCTTTTCATTTACTTTTTGAACCTGTAGTTCTCCACTATTTCCTTCATTCCCCCTAATATCCAAAAGTCTACGGAAATCCTTTTTTAGCATAGATCAATCCTATTTGTGGGATGCGTCGCATAGTTGCCCTCTACTCTGGACCATAGGGGCGTTTGAATAGGTATGTTGCCTATATAGTGGCCGACAGATTTGAAGTCAGTATTTCATCCACCCAGGTGAGTCTGGTACTAATTAATCGAGCCCGAAGAGATGGAAGGTCTGACTACTTCAGGTTCTTTCTGTTTTGTATTGCTAATGAGGTGAAGGTGGTGTAGCGGCGAGTAGCACAATTTCACACTACGTAGTACGGGGTTCGAATCTCGAATCGCCTGGGCCAAGAAAGCTTTCATTCTTATGGGGTAGATCAAGTGCTGCTGGACTTGTCTGGGAGTATAAATGCACCGACTTGTACTTCAACTGGCCACCGCAAGTCACTGTAAAGGCCACATACGCACTCAAACAGTCACCACGATTGTGATGGAAGTCGGATGCAGGGGCGCATCCCAGAAAGGGATTGATTGAGGCCGAAGACTTCATCCTTCATCCTATTGTTTAGTTTCTTTCGTTCAAACCTCTCATTTCCTTCCAAAGAGATCCATTACTACGACTATGCTTCCAGTTTCTCTTTCATGAGTCTGTTCTATTCTGTTCTTTTCTACTTTACGTCCCTACTTGCTGTTGCCCTCTTTCATCCTTTGTACATACCTTTTCCCACCACCACCACTTCCATTAACTCTTAACACACTATAGTTTAATAAAATTCAAGCAGAAATAAAACCTATGAGCGCCTGAAACAGGAAACTAGCTCCCTAACGAAGCCATGTCGGGAAAGATCATTAGGCCCGGAACACATTGATAAAATCAAGAACATCGAACTTTACCGTGGAATGATATTTCTTACATAGTTTCTCATTTTCTTACATCCTCAGAAAAACCATCATTCCCATAGATTAGCGCTAAGCCGTAAAATTAAATAGGAGAGCGAGCAAGACGAGGTGGAGCAAGAATCTTTAGGAAAAAATAATTAATAAATTAGTAAAAAGGAGAAAAGATCGTAGCAACCGGCGAAACTCTCGAAGAATAGTGGGAAAGATGAAAGAAGAGTTTTCGTCAGAAGACAGGCAATATTTGCGACGGAGTTTAGTAGGGCCACATTACGACTTTTCAGCAAACTCGTACAGTCATCAAAAGGAGAATGAAAGCACCTCGTTCTTTCTATGACGATGCCATTAGAGAGCTGAGAAGGGAGATACCTATTGCCCTTCTTTACACAGTCCCTCATTCCCTCTAACTATCCATCCTATGTACACCCGAGTAAAAGGTTTAGACTCGTAAATTTCTATTATAATCAAAAGAACTATTTGATAGCGCTAGAGAATATGTTCTCGAAAAGCTGTCAAATGATTCAACAACTATACGTTCCGCAAATGGCCTATTCCATAAACGCCCAAATGCTCGATGAAAAATTCTGCGTGCATTTAAAAAAGCCTAGAAAAACACCATTGTGGAAGTAATGGCCAATTGTATTCTCACGAGAACAGAACCACCCTTGCGATGACGAAAACAAGATTTACAATTACAAAACACTTATTGTAATGATACAGAGATGCTTGGAAAGATTCAGAATGGAAGGAAATAGTCAAAAAATTACCACTTCCATAAAATCATCGATCAATCAATGGCGGAAAGTAAATTTCATTCACGCATAGTTTCTTTAATCTTTTTTGGAACAACTCAGGAACTTCGATAGGTTTTTTTGGAAAGACGATGACAAATCCTTGTTTCCTACAGCTACCTTTCCCTCCCTATTCAATCTCTGTCGAGGGGTCTCTATACGGTTTTCATGAAAATCATTAACGACTCTCAAATAAGGGTGAGCAAAAATCATCCCTTTTCAAAATTCAGTTCAAATAAAAAATAGGAGTTGCTCGCCCCACTTTACAGAAATCTTCAGACACAGTTACGGTATGGAAGCTTCACCGTCTAGGACAGGAAGGGAAAGACACGATGAGCAGGAGAGACAGTTGCAGAGTGCAATGAAACTCGTTTCTCATGTACCCACTAAAAAGTCCCCCTCGCCCTTTTTCCAAATAAAACAAATTCGTGGATCACCCCTTCCCACCGTCAAGCATGGGGAGTATGGGACCCCTAGTCGACACTTATAATGGAACTATAGTCCAGTTGAATCAAAAATACGTCAATGGCTCCGAAAGCGCAGGATTCCGTCAGTGATTCAGTGCTAAATATGACTCAT